TCTTTGAAATCCTTGTTTTTTATATTTTGGAAATCTACTCATATAAATATATTATATTTAAATTTTATGTTATTTTTAAATAATTCATTATCATTTCGAAATTTTTAAAAATAGAAGTTAGGCTTATAAAGACGTACAAAAAGTAAAAAAAAATCGCTCAAGGTTTTTATTGTAAAACCATGTTAAACTAATTTTATATTTTTTTTATTAATTTATTTGTTAGAGTTACGTATTGGCGTTTCAATTGGGGACCTCGATACGTACATACCTAAATTCGAAATACATTTTTGATTACATAATGATTTAAAAAAGCCAACGAGAGTAAAAAAAAAGGAAAGGAACTCAATTAAAATATGCAAATGAACAAAAGAAAATCGTTAACCTTTCCACAGCGAAACAAAGCCCGCGATTTTCGCAGCAAGGAAACCATTTCTCACATACGACGTTGTTTGCGCCAACACAATCTTACGTCGTATAAAAAAGTACATACATACGTACGGATAGAGTATACATGTCTGTTGTCTGTAAAACTCGTATGTGTGGTAGTATATTCAAATTTTCGTCCTTGATTGCATGGCATTTGCCACAGAAATTATGCTTTAAGCACACCATATGGTATGTGACTTCGAGGGGGTAGTTAAACGTAAACAATAATGAGAGTGGTGTGGTTGTAAAGTGACATGGCAATGCAGGCGACCCAGCTTCCACGAAATTTAATATCTTATCTAAGAATTTGAATCACAACCGATGGGCGGAATCCTATGTGTATGTATGTAAAGAATATTTTTCTTTATTTTGTAATTACAATATATGGGATATCCTTAATTACGATAATAGGCATAGATATAATACTACATTCATTATTATTTCTAATTTTATTATTTCTTTAGCGAAACTTTTCTCAAAGATTTACATATATTGTATCCAAGGTTTTCTGGGATCGAACTTTTTTTTTATCAATTTAAAGGTGGACTTGCGCGCTAGTTTCTGACTTCTAAATAATTTTTCTATTCGAAATTTAAAAGATTTTATTGTGGATTGCACAGACACAGTACCAATATGGGAATAATTGTAAAGAATAATTATTCGTTGATATTCCCAGGGCACAGCTGCTTTCAACTGAGATTTCTATCTAAATGTTTTTAAATTTTTTCTGTTTAAGTTCTTTGTGAATGGAAACGTACATACGTGTATGCAAAGATAACTTCTACTCTATTCATTCTCGTTACTCTTTAATAAGTATCTCAAGCTGACAATTGGACAATACAATGTTTTCCCCTCATATCTATTTTCTTGCTTGCATTTACTGAACTAATTAAAATAAATTGAGTTTTCATTTCAACTCAAGAGAAAGGTCATTATGATTTCTACGTTTTAATAAGAAGATGTCGAGAATGAAATGGGAATTCGTACATAAAAAGATAAATACATCCCTTTTAATTAGATGGCAATCAAATACTTATTAAATGTCAGCTGCACATTTTGCGCAAATAAATATAAAATTTTTTTTTTCTACAACTTTTGAGAATGAAAGGTTTAGGGTTTAAACATGGAAAGGTTCACATTTATGACTGGGTACTCAAAAAAAGAATGATATCTCTCTTATATTAATATAATATTATATTATTTTTTAATTATATTTAATTTATTTGAATTAGTTTATTCAAATTTATTTTATTTTATTTTATTTTATTTTGATTTTACTTTATTTTATTTTATTTTATTTTACTTTATTTTATTTTATTTTGTTTTATTTTAATTTATTTTAATTTATTTTATTTTATTTTATTTTATTTTATTTTATTTTATTTTTTTTCTTTCTCCTCTTTTATATATAATTAAAAAAAATCGAAAGGTTCTTTACTGGGAAATTTAACACCTCTTCAATCAACTGAACCCTCGATCATAAGCGCCTAGTAAATTTAAGTGTGGAAGAAGTCCAAGTTCAATTGTCTTTTCAGTCATAATCCCGACCATTACAGCCAGTTGATGTAATTTTGCACTTTATTTTAATGAATGTTGCTGGAGGTTCAAGTTGGGCAAAGTATTAAATTTCAACAAGCGTTTGTATATACCTCACCTGAGTGCGTCAATATTTGTGTTCCTATTAAAAGATTGGTTTATGTATACAAAGCTAGATGTAGATGCGTACATAGCAAGTAAATGCTTGGCATGCACCTATAACCGGAGTATATAAAAATAAGACAACTCGATGAATATTGCTTAGAAGGATATATACTCGTACATATGTATGTATGCTATCGTTGGAAAAAGTGCATGCACTCATTACAGTACAGTAAGGTTAGGCTCGCATTATAAAGGTAGTATGAAAAGAACCTATTACTCCTCTCTCTTTGATTCTCGCTGCGTATAACCTACTGTGTGGATAGATATATGAAGAACTATACTATAGCTGTACTCTTGCTGATGTGTTTCCGATTGAAACTCAATTTAACAATTGACTGCACACTTGACAGGTTTACAGAATGTTCAATCTTCCTATTGTCAGTGGTAAACATGCGTACACTTACATACCTATTTACGCGTTCAATTTGTACGAGTGCACTCATCTATGCATGTACATATTTAGTAAATATTTTGCTTCAAGCCTTGGCTACTGCTGCTGTTCTCGGATAAAATTGCCGCAATTACTTGAGCGACAATGTTTACGAGGTAAATCAGCGAGCTATGAAGGTTAATGTTTGTAAAGGACAATCATAGGCGACGGCAATCCATTTATATCAGCTGGTGTATGCGCGCCTAAATATATGCTGCGGTTTAGTTTATTGTTTCATGCGCGCAAATTGATTTGCTGCCGTTTCTACGCTCGTTTTGCTTTAAAAATATTGTACTCAATAAAAAATTTATTGCTCACTTTTTTCAAATATTTACAATCACTTAGCATGCATATATATGCATATCATTTTCACAGAAGCTTGGCAGTGAAATATTTTTCGCCTGCTTCTTTGTAGAAGTCATGCATGCCTGCCTCTCTTGAGGTGTTGATTGAGTTATCACTTTTGTCATGTCAATGCATATGTGTGTATGTATGTATATAACAAGATGCGTCATTTAGCAGTGATTAAGTCTTTCATGCTAACGAGTTCTGTACAATAAAAGCTTTTACAAAATCTGGTCGAAAACTCTGTGAAAAGATGCGGTGATTCATAGAAGCTTTCAAGATTGTATTCTGAGGATCTTTTACCGTTGTACAGAACATACATACTTTTCCAGCCACCTTATTGGCGGTGAATGTTCAACATTTGAAAATGGTGAACCCTAAACACGAAGGAACCCGAAGGCGGCTGGAGCTGATGGATTTTTTTTTTATTTTTTTTTTTTTTTGGTAAGGAAAAGAAATATGCCTGCCTTCCGCGCAACATCATTGTGTTGTTACATCAATGGTATGTGCCAATTGCTGGTCACTAAAAACCTCTCCTCTTAAGAACCGTCGTCCACCCTGGAACCGCTTAGCACGCAGTCTGTGAATTCTTTTACACTATCCCAGCCTCTTTGAGCATATTTGAGGTGATGGATTACCAACCGAGCTATTCAAACAAGGTGGTGAAGAGCTCGCAAGTTGCATGCATCAGTATCTTCGTAGAAGATCAGCATAAATTATCATGGAATTAGCCTCCTAAACATCGCACATAAGGCCCTATTGAGCGTATTGTGTGAACAAACTTTTTGGGCCTTATCCGTGTGGCTTTAGACCTGGTACTTCCACCATAGACCAGATATTCATCATGCGGCAAGTCATCGGGAAAGAAAAAAACATTTTCATCGATCATCAAAGTGTCCTCGACAGCACGGTAAGAAGCTGCTTTTAGGCCGCCAAGGTAGTCCTGCAAAATTCATAGGGCAGTGTAAACTGATACTGGCCAACTTCAGAAGCGCAGTGCTTCAGACAGGGTGTCTCTCCGAGTTTCAGACAGGGTGTCTCTTTATCGTGTGTTTCTTCAATTTGATGCAGGAGAAAATAATACGAGCTGCAGAGTTAAATAATAGGACACAAGCTTTTAAGAGAGTGTACAGCTGCTGACGTATGCCGATGATATTGATGTCTTTGGCCTCAAAAACCGCGCCGTTAGTTCTGCTTTCTCCAGACTTTATAAAGAAGCGAAGCAAATGGGTCGGGTAGTGAATGAGGACAAAACAAAATATCTCCGGTCCTTCCGGTCCTCAATTACACAGTCAGCGCTTGCACCACTCGGCTCCCACGTCACTGTTGACAGTAATAACTACCAAGTCGAAGATAATTTCGACTATCCATGGCATTATCAAAAGGAAAAATCTGAGAAAAAACTCCAGCTTTGCTATAATGGAATGATAATTCTAAAATAAAAAAGGATAGCCGTAAAAGAGGTATTTGAAAATAAAGCAAAACAAGACTTATGCCCAGCTAAGTGGTAAAAATAAAGCTGGGGAAAATCATTAATTGATTGAACATGCGCACAAATTTTTTATTTTTATAAAAATCATTATTATATATTATGTAAATATTTAACTAAATTTAACTAAATATCATAATTATTATGAATAATTTACTACAACCCAAAATACTAAATGTAGTATAAAAAAAAATAAAATTAAAATAAAAAATTTCATATATGGGTTATTCATAAGAATACCATCTACATACTATATATATTATATATTGCAATTATTCAATTAATTAAATCAATCAAATTTTCTTCATTACCTGATTCCGCTGCATTTATTAATTTCTTTTGTGTATTTTTATGCATATGTATATGAAAATATGTATAATATGAAAATGCTTCATGACAATAATAAAAATTTTATTTTAATTGTTTTTTTTTTTTGTTTTTTTTTTTGTTACTTTAAATTATGTAATAATAATGTGGCTTACAACCCTAGAAGCTAAAGAATTTCGCTATTGCACATGCCAATTCGACTACGAAAAATAATTTCACTTAGCTGTGTTCATTTGTATTTGAATTTTATTTGCTATTGTATTGAACTGTTCTTGTACTCACTCGTCGATTTCTTCTTCGGAAATGGAATGACTGTTACCGCCAAACAGTGACATGCTGCCGATTTGTATTGTTATTTATATATTATATTCCTGAATTTAAATGAAATATCTGAAATGAGGAATTTTACAAAATTTTAAATTAATTTATTATAGAAAAATATATATATACATATATAAAATATAATTTTATTGTAAAAATAATAATAAATTATATTCAGCAACAATGCATTTTGCTACCTTAAACATATGTATGTATGTAGGCAAATCTCTTAAACACTGTTTGCCTGGATTATCTACAGCATTAATAATTCCTAGTTACAGCTGTTGGCACCACATGCCATGGACATTAAGTAGCCATTAAGTGAGCGCATATACTCGTATGTACTATATTACATACATATATGAATACTGTGTGAATTGCACAGTTGCTGTAACCTACCTTTTGGTGTTTCAAGCACAAAGTGTTTCAGAAAATTTTTTTTGCCGAATATCGAATTATATCAGGGGTACTTTGCTTCCGCCGTTTTCCGATAGGTGGCTGTACCGGCTGAGGCTGGTTGAAATACATAGATGATAATGCCTTTAAAGAGAGTGTGGACAGTGCCTAACGAATTGCCACAATATCAAGAGCGACATGACAAAGTCATCCTCCAACACGACAATGCTCGGCCTCACGTCGCAAAAGTGGTCAAAAAGTACCTGGAAACGCTGAATGGGATGTCTATTCCGTTCGATGGCCCTCGGCCTAGCAGATCAACATTTTCAATCCTTCGAAGAATTGGAAAAATGGCGTCAAAAGAAGACTTCTTTTTTCGTGCTGGTATCCAAGAATTGCCGGAAAGATGGGAGAAAGTTGTCACTAGCGAAGGACCATACTTTGAATAATATATCTGTAAGCATTTTTTCGCAATAAGGCTTTTAATTTTGTAAAAAAAAGGGCGGAAGCAAAGTAGTACACCTGATACAACATTCGAGAAATTCGAATACCGTTTTAAAAATATTTTATATAAATTGTTAAGAAAAAGTAAAGTCCTCTCTTGACGAACGAAAACGAAACTCTACAATTCGCTTATGCTTCCCGTCCTGCGGGAGCATGGACTGTGACAACATTTGATGAGTCGGCGTTAGGAGTTTTCGAAAGAAAGTTTTTGCATAAGATTTATGTTCTTCTACAAGTTGGAAAAGGCAAATACCGCAGCCGACGCAATGTTGAGTTGTGCTGTATGAGATATACGATCACATTGGCATAGTTCAGCGAATCATGAAACAACGGCTACGCTGGCTACGTCATGTGATCCGGATGGATACGACTGCTCTAGCTTTGGTAGAAGCAGAGAAATAGGAAGACCTCCACTGTCTCTGAAAGACCTGTTAGAGAGGGACCTGGCTCTACTTGGTATCTCCAATTGGCCGAACAGCTAAAAACGGAATAAATGGCGCAATGTTATAAAAATGTTATAAAATCGACTATAATCGCTATAGTCACTCGGGGAGAAATGTTACCGCTCTAAGTGACTGACTTGAAATAAAAGCTTAGAAAATGTAGGTCCCTCTATTTGTTGGAAAACATTACGACACATACCACTAATTGGAGGATGAGTTCAACCGAAAATCACTTCAGCTCTTACAAAGTGTCAATTATATATTTAAGTTCTAGTCCGAAGAATATCTACATAAGTACCAAAGGGAAAAGAAATAGACAGAATAACGAGTTGAGTTATCTGTTTCTACGAAAACTAGTTCCACAGTTTTTGAGATATTTCAATCACACTTGGCGCCAAAGATAGACGGATTAGATCTCACCACTAGTGCATATATGGGATTGTTTTTTGAAATTTGAAAAAATAAAACACATTAGAAAACTTATAATTTGGTATTCTACATACGAATATGCATTGAAGCATTGCCACCTAAAATCACCGATATCGGATTGTTATATCAAATAGCTTCCATACAATCACATGGAAGTTGTTGGGTCAAAACTCCACAAAAAAGGGATCTAAAATCATAAATACAAATGTAAATACGAGTTGAGATCAGGGACTATATCATATAGTTCCCATACAACCAATTTGTTGAGATACGAAACTTTGGCTCATAAATCTGTCAAGAAAGCGTCTAAAACACCGTGACTCTGAAAATTATCTGAATCGAATTTTGTGTTTCGCATTAAATTTGATGAGTTTATGATGAAAAGAAATGAAATGGCGAAGGCTAAAAATTTTAAATTTTTTTTAATATTGAAATTTATTTACATATTTTCATTACTCAAAAAAAAAAAATTGAGTTTCAACCTCCGATTTCCAAATCAAAACTTTTAATTGAGAAATCGCAAGCATTGCTCCAACAAACAATGCGCCATAAAGTTGTTTAATTATGTAATATCCGCAGCCATCAACACTTTATTTCGCTTATTAATTTATATGTATGTACACAGATACATATATGTATACACAAAACTCTTGGAAATCGCGGTTACCAAACACAATTAAAAATCTTTTGCCAAAATTAACTTTGTGTGGATAACCACAATTTTATTAACGGCATGAAAATAAAGTTTCCAAGATTCATAGCAAAATTTGATGGTTCGATTCAAATGGAAAACTTCATAAACTTAATGAACAACAAGTATAATATTGTGGTCAAAGAGGGCTCAAAAGCATTTCGTTGGTGAAATTAGGACAGGGTACAACTGAACTTTTTTAATATTAGAAGAATTTTTTTTTAATTTTAAAAAAGGAACAAAAGTTTTTTTAATGCAGTTACAAGCTTGCAGAATACAAGGTTTTCCTATAAGACTTGCTCAGTCGGTGTACTTGGGAGTTTTTTGCTTTTAGGCATTAATTGAATTGAGCTGTAAAAATGTGATCTTCCTCGACTACAGTGACACCTATTGGCAAATTTCAAATTCGATGATGTATGTTTTAAACTCTTAATTAAACTAAACGGCGCTTGAACGAGTCTTAAATAAAGCCCCACACTAAATGTTTTATTTTAAGAAACCAGATCAGATCTCTTATGAAAAGATTGGTGGATTTTATTTCTCTGCTTCTACTAGCGGGTTCTTTAAAAAATACTTTCAATGTTGTAATACAAATTTTTCGCAAAGCAGTCTCTCTCTTTCTTTCTCTCTTAAATTTCACTCTTCGGTTGTCGTCATCGCTCAAACTTCTGCACCATAAGCACTTTAAAAGAAAGAACGATTTGGAGAGAGGGAAGATTTTACTTCTCTAAGCTGCAATGTACCATCTGCTGGCAAGTGATATTCTGCCTTTCGGGCTGTCTCATAAAAAGTATAGCAAAATGCCTAAAAAGTCGAAATTTTTCAAGTTATGACAACATTATCGCAGATTTTTTTTTTTTTTTTTTGTGTGTGAAAGTGCATTACATAGAAAATGGCTAGAAAATACCAAAAGGCATGACAAGATGACTGGCAAATTATGCCAACTCGCGGTCCCACGTGACAGTAATGGTCAAAAACTACCTGAAAACATTGAAAAAAGAGATCCCACACCAACAACCGTATTCTCCAGCCCTTGATACTTTCGATTGCTGGCTTTTTCGCCGAATGAAAAACCAATTTATTGGAGGGCCCCTGGCTTGGGTCATTTGAAGAAAATGCAGAAGGGTCAATAAACGGAACGAGCACAAAGAAGACTAATTTTTTAGAGATGGTATTTGAAAATTATCAGAGAGATGGAGAAAGGATAATCGCTTCTAATGGAAAATACTTTGAATGGTTTCTTCTTTTTGCTTTTCTGTAACACAAATAAAGGGCCGAATATATTTTTACTCTTAATACATGAAATAGTATATTATGGTTCGTAGTATGTAAGTAACAGAAGGAGAAGAGGAAGATCCACCAAAAACTATAATGATCGGGTCAGGGATGTGGATTGAATTAAGATTTGAGCATCTAAGGTGTGGAATTTGGTAATACAATTGAAAATTATGGAAATCGCACGACTTTGAAATATTGCCCACATACAACCGATTTGGTCAGACATGAGAATCAATACTTAATCCCAAAATGAAGTGTCATATGTGATCGATAATATGATCGTGAAAGGTATAAAGACTATGTCACAACCGAAGACTGCTCTTCTTTCTTGTTTTTTATATAGTCAATCTCTAAAGTTTGCGCCTAAAACTATGTGAAACACATAACTGATACGAAATGTGTCCATTGGGGTTAGCACTCTAAATGTTGAATAATTTTTGCTTTTTCCAATAATAAACTTAAGATTTCAATCATAATGTTGATTTTTAACCAATCTTGGTGTTACTTTGTAAATATATGAATTAACATAATTCTTTCCAAAAAATTTTCATGCGTCTACACTCTCTTCCCTCTCAAAAATATAGCGCACTTTTGGGCATATCATAAAAAGAGTTATGCAATACTGCAGCAAAATTTTGACGGTATTGCTGTAAAAACTTTTCCCGGCAGACTTTTATTTTAGTTAGCTGTAGTTTTCGCGTATATGTATGTATGTATGTAGTCTGTCAACACAGCTGCACAGCCAATAAGCTTAGTCACAGACATTTTCATGTCCATGTCCGGACCAGAAGTACGAAATTTTATATGCGCACACACAGGCCTGCGAACTTGGCACACACACTCACGCATACAACCATCAGTCACACGTACACATACACACACACATTTTGGCCAAATGTTAAAGCCGACTATTGGGCAACCTTTGTGTGAATATGCTGCAGGGTCATGAGGCTGCGAAAGTGCGAAGAGAAGTGTTTAATGTATTTTCTGCTTTTTTTATTGTTTTTGTTTTTGCTTTTGTTTATGTTTTGACCGTAATTAGATTGTGAAGTGTGCGTGTTCTTTACACCGACATTTTGCACTCACCACCACCGCTCGAGCTGTCGTTAATTGTACACGTGGAAATTTCATGGAGGTCGCAATTTCCAACACCAATGTTTTTGTGCGCGAATTATGTGCATGTGGATATGCGTGTATGTACGTGTGTATGTAGTGTAGGCTAATAAGGTATATAGGTGATGGGCGATGGTGGTGCTGGCTGGTAGCATGTGGTAGACATCCAGGACACTGTTTTTGACAGTGAATTGATGTGCGCTAACGTCAGCGTA